TACTAATATGTATGACTGCTGGTTAAACTAACATCCCTCACGCGGTTGAAGTCAGTGTCTTATTATTACAGAATCACATGAATTACCTGGAGTATCATAAAACCTTGACCAAGGGTGCGCCTATTCGGGTGAAGGACATAGCACTTTACCAAATTGTCGGGTATTAACGACCACATCATCGGGAATTGATTTCTATAAGCCCAACTACCTTATACAACACCGTATATTTCGAAGACGGCACCGTCATATGGCGATTGTGATGCTCCAGTAAAGAAACTTGCTTGTCACCGATACCCCGCGGTTAGGTTCTCTAAACAAAACGCTAGGGGAAAAAATGGGCGGCTGTCGTGGACCTCCTGTACCCCCGAAAATGATGGAACTCGCGCTACAGCGTCTGTGGGAGCCGACACACACCATAACCCTGATTACGTGGTGCACGCGAATAGTAATCGAGTTTTACTACGCAGTCGGGAAAGGACCCTTGTTACTGGGTGTTGTGTGTAGTCAAACACTGCTGTCACTCCTTCATCACTTAAGTATTGTTCCATAAAGATCTTTCCAACTTGATAGATATTCGGTCAATTGTAAGATAAGGCTAGATTATATCGCCCATCCTAGTCAACTATTTACTGAACCAGATTCTCGGGAGAGATATACACGATTTTGATGGTGCCGAATTTGCATCCGGGTAGTGGTGACTGACCTCAACTACGCCGAGGATATCGTCCAGCTGACTGCAAGCTATGGTGACTCAGTCGCTGTATTTACCAACTCTGTTGAGAGCAGGAGCGATCTCAGGCTGCCCTTCTGACGAAAAGGTACCCCTCAAGATGAGTCCATGCCACCTTGGAGGAATGTATAGTAACATACACCTATATGGTCGGACGAACGACCCCGAACAAGGTGACGATATCGCACTGCTGACTTCAAGTTATGATTGCCTAGGGAACAAAGCGTCGTCGAATCTGCAATCGTTTAGTGTCATCAACATAAGTTATATGAAAGTGTAACCTCAGAAAGGAGGTCGGCAATAACTTTAAGTTATGCTGACAAGTCAATAGAATGCAATACAATGGAGTGTAAGGAAAGACAAGCAGTTTATGTACCTTGCACACGTTGGCACCCAGAAGAGATGCGCCAGAAACAGCATGATACAAAACCTCGATATCTTCAGATTTTGCACTGGCCTGAAACAAAGGGCACACCTTCGCAACTGCATCAAACTTTTCTCCGAGGCTTTGATATCCAAGAGCGGCAAAATGCGCAGATTTCACGTCCACCAGGGAGTCTGTAAGAACATGCTTTATGTGTTCTTTATCAGCGGCGGTGAGGTGGCCAATAGGTAGTGCCGACTGCTGCCCGGTCGCTGTAAGAGCCAAGCCACTGACCAACGCAAAGGTCAGGAGGTTGAAAACTACAATGCAAAATTGTTGAGATAAGGTGAAAAACAAGTACTATGATTCCAATGCATAGTAAGAACTGCAAGGTCTTGTTTGTTTCGGTAGAAACCTATCCAACTTCCACCTAAAATTTGGTATTGACACGCGCAGTACCAACGCCCGTTATATCGCTAATACTGCTTGAAATAGATTGGCTAACCGGACTGCCGTTTATTGGACAGCAAATTGCAAAACACAATGTAGTTATGACTGTAGCCATGGAGTTATAATGACGCCAGGCCGTCAGTTGGCGCATTAACCATTATTTTTGTAAGTTATGACAGTAATAATCCGTTACCCAAATACCAATCACCGACTTCACAGGTGGCCATTGGGCCAAAAACTAAACGGGTAGGTTAACTTTGGGAAAAAAATGAACCACTTTTTTTGTGGATAAGTAGTAAGATAGTAAGCAAATGGCTTTACCGGATCCTGTGGTCGCTAACTTGTTGCAGACAAATTTCCTCACGGCGGGTGGCCGATTGTCGAAATGCCCTTCATATCGAAACGATATGGAGGCATGCCAACAAAGGCATCTGAAACACATTCTAGTGTAGCAATATGTCAGACCACCTTGTTACCATAGTGTGTTTCGTGTTATATTTAAGGAGACCTTGCTCCCAATTAGAAGACTTCACAGTTCATTGTTTGATTGTACCCTCGGATGCCTCACAAAGCAACCCAGCATCCAGGTTAACTCACAGGGATGTTATTT